AGGTAGTGAATTCCACTCGTTGATGATTCGATGGGAAAGTCGATAGTCAGCTGACAAGTAATTTGTTCTCGGCTTGCGGAGTGTCCTTGTAAATTCTCTGTTTTGGAAGACAAGAAAAATGAGGGCATGTTAGGTGCAAATTTATCACTAAGCAATTTGTAGACTGTAATCAAGTCGCCTCTAGTTCTGCGATATGACAACGGGAAAAGGTTCAGCTTGGCCAGTCGAGATTCATACGGAAGCTTCGCTATTCCGGGAACCAGCTTAGTCGCCGTTCTCTGAACCTTTTCCAGGAGCTCACTGTCTTTTTTTAGGCAGGGGCTAGCCGCTTGTATGCAGTACTCAAGTTTAGGACGAACGAACACTGTATACAAAGTCAAAAACGTCTTAGCGTCGACATGACTAAAAGCCCTACGTATTGACCATAACGTTCTAAGACCTTTGGCGGCTATTGCACGGCAGTGTGCAGTAGTCTTTAAGTCTTGACTAACGATAACTCCTAAGTCATTATATGTCTGGACGACAGGTAGCTCAGTGTTGTTCATCGTGTATGTATCTGTGCCTTGATGACCGATATGCATCACAACACACTTGGAAGTATTTATCGGCAACTGCCATGTTTGAGACCATTCAGATAATTTCTTCAGGTCATTTTGAAGTTCTAAGCTATCACTCTTACATCGTATCGTTCTCCATATCTTGACATCGTCAGCATATAGCAAGACCGATGATGATAGGAGACAAGGAAGGTCATTTACATACAAGAGGAATAGCACTGGCCCCAAAACTGTACCCTGGGGCACTCCACTAAGCACAGTTTCCCAGCTAGATAACTTTGAGTTCACCCGAACTCTTTGTTGACGCCCAACTAAGATGTCTTTTATCCACATCAATAAATTGCCTCTAATCCCGACTTTTCTTAACTTATATAACAGCCGGTTGTGCGGAACTTTATCAAAAGCTCTACTGAAATCAATGAAGGTGACGTCTACAGGTAGTTTTTGGTCCTTAAGAACGCACCAGCTTTCACGAGCCACTAATAAGTTAGTGAGACAAGAATAACTTATTCTGAAGCCGTGCTGCTTCTCCGAGAGGATCCGGTTTTTATCGAGATACTTAAACAGCTCCTTCCGAATAATCTTTTCTAATATTTAAACAACCACACTAGTTAGGCTAACGGGGCGGTAGTTCTCAGGTTTGTGTTTCGTGCCTGTTTTGAAAACAGGACTTACTATGGCATTTTTCCAATCTTTCGGTAGGCAACCCTGCGTAACGGATAGGTTAAAGCATGTACTTAAAGGGCTTGCAACGAAGTTAGATAATTCCTTCAGTAGCCTAGGATGTAATTCATCGGGCCCCATGGATTTACCTATGTCAAGCTTATTTAGCAGACCAAAGACATCGAGTTCTTTAATGGTCACGCTATCCAGTGTATGTATGGGGGGATCTGTATACGCTGACGAGAAGGGCGCTTCTATGGTATACACGTTGCTAAAGTAGTTCGAGAACGCTTGAGCCTTACCAAAGTCGTCCTCCACTAATTATGAAGCAGTACTGTCTCCCCATAGAGCAGGAATATTTCCTTTTCTCCTTGTCCTTTGGTTTATATAGAAATACAAGCGTTTAGGACATCCTATGGATTCCTTAACAAGTTTTTCTTCGTACAATTTTCTAGACTTACGGAGGGTCGAGGCCCAAGTGTTTCGAGCTTCTCGATACTGAGATTTTGTCTCATCAGTCCCCAGTAACCTAAATCTATCCCACATTTTTCTTCTCTTACGGAGAAGAATACGGACCTCTCTACTGAACGATGGTGGAGGGTTTCTCGGCCCCCTTGGTATAGTCCAAGTGATGTGGGGTGCGGTAACTTTTAAGCATAATTTTCGAAATGCGTCCCAAGCCGTTTCAATTGAGGACTCTGGGTCTATTGTCCAATCTATTAACGATGCTGAGTGCATGATGTTTGGTATGTTTGCTTTCCAGACGTTGGGTCTGGACTGGACTGACGCGTCCTCATGACTGACATTTATATGGAAGTCGAAAGTAAAACTGCGTGGTCACTTTTACCTAAGGGTGGCATATGATGGAGGTTCGCAACATCATCCTCATAGTGAGTCAGTGTAAGATCTAATAAGGATGATTCAGTGTCCGGATCGTACCTTGTCGCTTCATTCACATGTTGCATGAGAGCACATGTGATAACCCCATCAACTAGTTCCTGCTCGAAAGAATTCTCCGACGATTTAGTTCGCAGATTTTCCCAGTCTACCATAGGTGCATTAAAGTCCCCTAGGATTAGACATCGACAACTTTGGGACCAAGTATTGAGACTGCTTAACAGGATCTCATTTGCCTCACAGCTTGGACTGCGGTAGACCAAACCAATCAGCAGCTCTTGTCCCTTGCATTTTAAGCGAAGACTAACTAATTCACACGTCCCACTCTCATGGGTTACACTATCGATAATGGTAAATGGGATAGCATTCCTAATGAATAGAGCTACTCCCCCTCCTTTGCGCTTTTGTGTTCTGTCAGCCCTTACTAACGTAAAGCCCTCGAAATCAAGTTCTATAATATCTATAGCCTGTGTCAGCCAGGTTTCTGTTACTGCGATTATATCTGGCTTTGTAGAGTCAATCTGTACACCTAGTTCCGATCGCTTATTAAGTAAGCTTCGTGCATTGGTGTAACAGATCCGAAGCCTGTTTAAGTGCCTTCGTGCTTCACCCAGAGTGGCTTCGGCATCATTCTCTGTCGAAGTCTTACAACCCGAAAATTTACAATTTTTAGGTCCTTTTCGCCAGCGTCTAACCTATGTTGTAGTTCTTTCTCGGCTTCCCGTCTTTTAACACGGTCTGCCAACGGTAGGTCCTTTCGGATAAAGACACCTGAACCCTTTAATTTGTGTCCATTTTGTAAAATGAGGTCACGTTCGTTCGAAGAGCCGAATACGACTTTAAGCGGTCTGGAATAATTTGGTTTCGAGTCCGTTAGACTCCCTAGTCTGTACTTCTTTAGCAAGGTGACCCCGGTGATATTTTGAGGCATGAGTTGATTAAGCAGCTGCCTAATCAGTACAATGTCATGTTCAAAACGAGCTTTAGGTTCAGAGCTGTCGCTCTCCTTGATTCTATGAAAAATAGCTGATCAGCTTTCGATTTTTCAACCACTTTTACGGGGCAGGTTTCCCTTTTATATCAATACTTTTCTTCCTTACAACCTTTACCCATTCGCCAACGGTGCTGGTAGAAGCAATAACAGTTGCGTCAGACCTAGTGTTGGGTTTTGGGGGGTTGTCGACGACCTGAGGGGTCGTGTTATGTTTACCGTTTGAAACCGATCGAGCCTTGCGATTGCGGCTCCTAGGTGTTTCCTGTTGGATCCCATCTGGGAGACGGGGAACAGAAGACCCTACTTTTCTTGAGCTTTTTTTAAGGCAGGCCTCTTTGAAGACTGCCTTTCCTTCTTTGACGGGCGTGAGTCATCTATCACCGGACTAACCTTAGTTTCCTTCACGTTGATTTGCGTGTCGACAGATCGAGTTCTGTTTGACGCGTTCCGACTATGCTTGCTAAAACACTTCTTTGCAGCATCAACCAGTGAGATGACCTCGGTTAGCAAGCTGTTTGCATCCGAGCAGCACTGTTGACAAAGCCACACACAACCCTTCTTACTGAACCGTTTGAAAGCAGCAGGCGTTAAGTTCGTGCAAACTTCGTGGTACCAGCCTTTGCACTCGTCTCACTGCATGCCGCTTTCAACAGGATAACGACAACCCGGACGTTGATAACTGCTTTTTTTACACTGTCCGGTCATGTAGGAGGGGCTCTTTTTTAAACTGTGATGATACTCAGAACAAAAAAATTTATCAATGACCAAAAGTGAAGAGCTGTAGATTGCTAGGACCAAAAGTACTAACAGATACAGTTGAAAAAGAGGTACTCAAGAGTACCAACGACAAAACAGTAAAAGCGATACTTTAGTCGAATATTTTAACTGAAATAAATTCAATTAAAGTGAAAAACAGTAGTCTTGATACGTAATAAACGATCAAAACAAACAAATTTACTCAGCGAGGAAAAATACCACTGTCCTTTTTAACTAGGGCGCGTTGCATGATCATAAATTACTTTTTGTCCTGGGTGTTATCGTATCAAGTTTCCTTTTGAGAACTTCTACCTGATGGCTGGACAGTGCAATTATAGCAATTGCTAATGCCCGGGTTGTCGATACCCCGATATGCAGTGGACAAATGCATATGCTGGTACCACGAAATTTGTACGAATCTAAAGTCTGTGGTTTTCAAACGGTTTAGTAGAAATGATTGCTTGTGGTTTTGTAAGAAGTGCCTCTCAGATGCAGCTAAAAAGTGTACTGGTAAACCAGGTCAGCTTACATTCGATACAGAAATTAATGTACAGCCACCTCAAATGAGCTCGGTAACAGCTGACTCACATCGATCAAAGGAAGAAAGATTGACTTCAAAGAGGTCTGTTCTAAATGAAACCTAAATAATAAATTTGTACCTAACATGCCTTCACTTTTTTATCTACCAGAACAGTAGATTTATGAGGACACCATAAAAAACGTTTACAAACCCAGAACAGATTACTTGCCAGCTGACTATCGACATTCACATAGAGTCATAAACGAGCGTAATTCATTAACTGAACACGTTATTGAAACATAATCTGTCGAATCTTTCAAGTAAAAGTTAGGTCCACTGAGAAGCCATAATTGCCAGGACTTACACAAGCTAAGTGATTCTTCCGAACTGGAACAGAAACTCCCCAAGTTGTGACTGAAGCTAAATTTATTTTGGCTTTGAGTTTTCTAAAAATATGGGGAAAACTTGATTTACTTGTTATCGAAAATTATCCTCTGTTGCAATGGTGTATATAAGGACGAATAAACAATTTTCCAAATACACCTGACAGTTTTAAGTTCAAAAGTATTGGACCCTCTACGCTCGAATTTTTTAAAAGGTTAGAAGCGCTCACATTGATTTCTGAATCCGTATTCGTGCGTGTATTGGCTACCGCTGTTGTTAGGTTATACTTGAGCAATCCTTTTATTTGAACTGTGATTACGACCGGAAACCTGTGAATGCTGTTTGTCGCGTTATTTGAAATGTAAGAATGTGCATCTATAATATAAACGAATTTTTATTGAAGTCTGAAATTCACTAATATACTTTGAATTCCAAAACAACATTGGCCAAGACTTATCTTCTTGTTTTTTCTTTAAATGGCGATTAGCTTACATGAAAATGGGATTCTTCGAAATACTACAAACTGGCTAAATATTTAGCCATGCATACCAACAACTGTCTTCCAATCCTGATTGCATACTGGATCAATGCCCATAAAAATACAACAATAAGCTTCACTATCCACTTGTTCAGTAACCCGTTCATAGGATGTTAACATGTACTAGAAAAGACGATAATGTAGACGACTTGTAGCATTAATCATACACATCAGGATCGAATGCCGTACATAGATTGCGGCCTGTACTAAACGCCTTGTCGTTATCAGCAGGTGAAACTGAAATTCCCACCATAAAATTGCTTTACACCGATTATTTTAAAAGGCTGTGGACGTAAATAGGATAAGATCATTACGAATGTATAGCAGTTTTACTGAGCTTTATTATAAGGCGTGGGAAACCAAATAAAAAAAACTAGGATCGCGAAACTCAAAGCGGACAAAAGGGTGCGGAATAGTATTTAAGTAGAACTTTAAGTAACAAGACTTTAAATTTTACAGTTATAACTCGCAAATTGATAGATATAACAGCGACAAAGTTTCGACTAAACACTTTAGAAATTACTTATTTCAAAGCACCAAGCTAAATAAACATAACAAAATATTACATTTGTGTTGACTGATATGGAGTGCGTTCCCTAGATTAATTAGTTAGGATTTTGTCGTTGAAAAATTATGGATTGATAAAAACATCTTAATAGTAGACGAAAGTAGTAAACTTTGGAATATTTTTGACCGTACTTGAGGTTTAAAAATGAATATTATTTAGGCTTCTTACGTATTCTTGAAATTTTTTTACTGACGTTTAAGGGATTTTATTGATGAGTCTTAGCATATGGTATTATTTTGAAAATCATAAACGGTATACTAAACTTAAACGTACTATGGGAACAAAGATTTAAAGAATACAACTTCAACACAACTGGCTCTGCAGAAACGCATAGTAAAAGCTTAATTGAACAAATTCCATGCAAGTGTTATGGGAAAGACCCGTCAGTTCATAAACTAGCGTTATTATCAGACACATTGGATTTCATGTACTATGATGCATCGAAGAACATATTGATTGGAAGTATGAGCACAATTGATAATTTTGTTACATTTTTCCATTTCGAGTGTTTAAATAGTAACGCATTTGCGTATGTTTGTACATTACTACACCAGCAAACCTTAATATGGTATAAAAAGATTATTTGTGGCTTAATTTGCAGAATAACTATAAATACCGCTTTTTAAAATCATGAAGATCAAGTCGCAAGGAATCTGTTCAAGAGAATCCATCAATGACGTGACTAAGAGTCTGTCTTATTCTGACTACTACGCATGGTGGCATACTTTGGCCCCATAATTGAAGTTACCACTTTAAGCATCAATATTAATTCAATCTGTCATTTTAGTCCTCCTATGAAAAAATTATGTTTCATGTAGTATGTTACATTTCCATATGGTCTATAATTTTTCGAGTTCCCATGACGGTACATTTACCTTACCTGAGAGCTATAGTTACTTAATACTAAACTATCATTAGGAACAATAACAATGAGAAGCGTATATAGCACACCATTGTCGCTGTACCTAGGATACAACCTACCTACCTCACCGCCTTCGATGGATCAAGAAAGTCATGAGAACACCACCAGTGTATCCAACTAAGTAGATATCCCGTCGAGACATCAACACCGTAGATGTTACTTTCAGTAGCTGGAAAGGAGAGCCTAACGCAGAGATTTTCGAAGATCTTTGGTCAGCCACCGATGTCCCAAAAAGGCATGAGGCTTAAATAAGCAATCAACTTTAGGCAACGTTTGACAATATTCTTAATATATTGAGGAAATTGACATACATTCATCCTGCTTCTTGCGTACGCTTAATTGTTTTGGTTATACATTAGTAGTGATTAACCTACAAACGGTGTCGTGGATATATCTGAAGTCTTTTACTGATGCTTTTTGCATACATGATGGCTTTATTTCTGTTCCTCCATTTTACACTTTCGCATAAATTTGACTTCTATTCCAGCTGAATTATGAGAAAGTTCAAGTTAACCTTGACAACATTCTAAAAGACGTTTGTTACCTTTGTTATAAGTCCTGCCGATGAAAAATTCATTCTCTTTACGCACAAATAATTCAAATGCCGAAGTCAAACTTCTACGATCAAAAGATGACCTAATACACGAACTCGTGACTTCTGAAATTAAATACATAAGTTACCTCAGGAAGGTTTTGAAGGTAACTTCATATTGTTTGTCTAATCTTTTAGTACTTTGCAAGGCCCTTAATTGACCGCAGATACTTGCCAGAAGATATACACTCTGAAATTTTTGGATGTCTCGTGCCCATCTTAAGTGTCAATGAAACTCTTCTTGAGTCTATCTTAACTGTTGGAGTAGAGAAAGCATTTCTGAAAATTTCTCCATGTTTGAAATTATATGCAGATTATGCCAACCGCTACCAAACAAACGTTGTGTTTATGGAGGCGAGTTGTTCAGTTTGCGTGGTTTTGTTTTTATTATGTTTCTATCTGTACTGTTACTGTTAATGACAAGATCAGGTAGTCCGAATCGAAATACGAATTCATTTAAGCTTCAAACTGGTTAGATGTTAATATTTGCTTCAGCTTAAAAGTTTGCAAATTATTATATTTCCCCTTAACTTAAGCTTTTCGTTTGTCCCTGGCCTATCTCTTTTGCTACTGCAGTACATAGTTAACCGAAATATAGTATACTAAAAGTAACTCCTCTAATTGCACCGTTTCACTATTGGCATAAAGAGCTACACAGCTGAAATCTTACGTCTGAAATACATGGTTTGTTTAATATATAAGCAAACTGAGGCACTTAGATTTTCTTTGGAGCATTAGAAAAACTAATTAATTTTGTGGAAAGTTTGGGAGATTATAAAGATCTAGCTTTCCGAAAAAGGCATGAGAGTTTTTCAGCGTAAGCTGTGAAGACTACATGGTTGATACAAGGTTGGGATGACCCTGTACCTGTATTGACGAAAACACTGAACGTTCACCGATCTCTTTTACTTTGTAATCGTTGACTCCCTGTTGGCATAGTTTCTAGTGACCTGAATTTAAAAAACTCGTCTGTGCGAGATCGTGCAAAGAAATGAAACAACCAGGCAGTAAAAAGGCCTGACTTGCACAACATTCCATGAATGTTGTGAACAAAGGAATCAATGCTGAGACTAGTGCAATGACAGAAATGGAGAGTACTTTAAAAGATTAAGATTGATATACTCTAAACTTTGTAAAACAGAGTTCTTATGGCCTCCGCTGATGTATTTTATAGACTGAAAGTTTCGAGCTAAAATGCAACCTGACAATAATCATTGTATGTGAGATATTTCCATCGGGATATTGAAAAACAAGTTGGGCAAAGAAATGCCTTCTTTCCACTAGTTCTTCATCAAGGCTCTATACTAATACATAGGTTTTGCAGTTAAGAATGAAATCAGTTGCAAACAATTGGTGGTTGATCAGTTTAACAATGTCTCCTCTAAAACGGTAGTCACAGTCTCAACGAATGTGACATCAAATCTACAGACAAGGTTGTGTAATCAGTTAATTACAAAAATTCGTTATGTAGTAATAAGAGTTGAGTAAGTTCGAAATTTATGTCAGTCCTCCACGACTATCTGGTTAGGTCCTAGAGATAGTACTACACGGTGAATTAAAACGTCACTAGACACGGCTCCTAATTAAAGCCGGTGGCGGTCCTTTCATGGTTTTCTTTTAGTTCTTAAACTTGAGAGGGACTTATTTAACTGAAAGAATTGGTTATATTTCTCTGAACTAGATATCATAAATCTATTATTCATCTCCGATTTTCTGGTTTTATCAATAGATTTGAGACTATCTTTTACGACGTGCTGTGAAACGTCTCTATGCAGTACCCTTAGAGGTTCTGCTATACATCTTTCTGCCACAGCGGTAATCCAGATTTATATACGTTTGGATAGATATAATGCCTTAGTGACATGGTACCGCTGGGTTTGAGTGTTACATAAAAATCCTGAGAGATTGTATCTGTTTGTCTTGGGCTATTTAGTGATTAAGTCAATTGTCATGGTCTCTTCTGCTGGGTCATTATTCGAGGATATTGTACTTATCCTTTCTTCAGTTTAAGTAGGGATTTTTTGTTTCTTTTGGTCAACATCCTTTCTATTCTGTGCCTGTAGTTTAGATAATAATAGCAACAATCTACTAGACTGGAGTTAAGTCCTTCTAAATCCCCGTAGATAAAAGGTATTAGGCCTCTTATTTATGGGTAGATGTTTTAAACCTGAACTTGTAAACAGTACTACCATCACAAAATTCAAAACCAGGAGATGAGACTTCTAAATAGTTAGATAAGGATAAACACTCGAAAAACTACGAACATTCCGACATAGATTTCTTGGGAATCCAATTTTCTAGGCTTTGAAAGAACTAAGTACGCTTTCTTTCTCTTCTTACGTTCATTATTTAAGTCACGCATTATCGAAATTGTTACTTGAAGTGGTCAGGTAGATTCCCAACTCCATATGATCTCTCAGGAACATCTTTTGTCAACTCTGTAATGCATTGTTTTTGTAATACGAACAACATAGGTTCATAAAAGTTTCTTTCCATATTCCACATATTGTAGTAAATCCTGATTTTTAGCTATAATATAATAGAGAAAACTTCACATTATAAAAATAAACAAGAAAAAATACCCTTAGTCTGAAAGTTTTCCTCAAAGAATGAAGATATCTAAAGTGTACGTCTCTTTTAAAACGTACTGATCTGAATATGAGGATCCATAAAATCACACATTAACAAGCGTAATTATAAATCAACCGTGAAAAGTCAATAGGTAAGATGAACTAATCCTTTATTAAGATTTTATTAATGTAAAAGTTGTTTGACATTTTGAAACTAATCATAGTTCTTAAAAGAACTCATTTGCAATTTAAATTATTTGTAACATTTACAAACAATCATTTCACGGAATACAATTGAGTGCTTTTTGGTTAGCAGGAAAAGTTACTTTTATGTGGTTTAGAATTTCGCTTGATTCGTGGTATCCGTACATGTTAAATTAAGTGTTATTTTTGGTCTTTTAGACTTGTAATGCATTCATACCAGGACTAATGGAGTTTATAAATAAACAAGAAAGCTTACCAGATGTTAATTTACAGCTTTCAGCACTCCTCATAATGCCCATACAGCGCATTCCTCGGTATGTTTCTGTATTGATAAGTCTTTGGTTTTATTATGTATGATAATTGATATCTGTAGAACCATGCCTGTTAAGTATAACTTTTCATATATATTAATGCCTTGCCTGATCGCATTAATTTTCTTAAAAGAAGGATTTTATGGACATTGGTGTCATTTGAAAGAACTATTAGAAATAGTTCTAGATACCCTTGAAGGCTAAAACCTACATGCCTGACCAAACGTGTCAGCAAACTACCGCTACACTTCTGTGTCAGAATCAAATTGTCGAAATTATAATATTATCGTATTATTGCTCCTCTCGCAAATTATGTTTCCTGTGGTCTGTGGTTCAAATTTCACGCTTATGTATGCGTTTAATATTTTTGCCTGTACCACGATTTGTGTGGTTTAGTCATTAGTACACAAACATGTGTGTGGTCTCACAGATAGGTTATTAATTATTTTCTACGTGCCGTTGAATAGAAGGAGTATGTCTTCAGTAAAATTAATTTTATGTTTCCGCAGTGTTGATGGATGTACGCGAAAATTTAACGAACTTCTATTTTTTGTAGGTATTCTTTAATACTCCAAGAACTTGTTATCATTTGCCTTCAACTGGACGGTTTAAGTAATCCAGAAGCAAATAAATGTGCCATTAGTATTAGCGAAGCTGCTCGTCGACATTTTATGATACCAGAATATGCAGCCACTCTTATTTTAAAACTATGGGATAATCATCATCAAGTGCATTACTCTCCAGAATCTCATGATTCAAGTTTTTCAGATCTGAAACGTTACATTCATAGAATGTGTGCTTCCACAATTATTCTTATTGCAGGTTTTGCTAGTGTGGTAGCGACAGCAACATTTTTAAATGAACAGATTAGAATCAGTGAACAAGCTACTAAGGCCGCTTTATTACAATCAAGACTTTTTGGCAAGTGGTCGCAAAACCTCATTCTAGTACCTGGGCGTAAACTATTGAAGTATGGATTGGTGAAAAAGGTAAGCATTTTAAACTTCTATGGTGTTAGGTTCTTGAAATCACGTAGTCGTTTTGTTAATTTTATACCATCTAAGCAGGAATCTTTGACTTTCTACATATTTCGAAATCTTAGTTTCTGGATTGTTATCACTCTTCATTAACATCTTAAAACGAAAGTGGGTTTAGGCTTTACCTATGAGTATTGAGCGTTTAAGCTGAGTACAATTTCATATGTATCATTTTTGATGTAATTCATCTCTCAATTCAATCCTTTTCTATGTCAATAACCCAACTCATTTACTTTGTTAAATATATAATCGTAGCTTTTTTCATTGCAGGTGAATTCTCTTGATGGAGTTGCGGAAACTCGTTTACTAGTGATTATGTCTGATATACTGATATGTGCTAAACCGCGAACCCAGACGGAGTTGGAATTTATTTTCAGCAAGAAAAAGTGTGTTTATAGCCGAAAATATCCTAATCCTTTTACACAGTTGTACGGAAGAAAAATGTCTTTAGGGTTTACAAAACATATTCGAAAGTCGAATGACACAAACTCATTGATTCACGTTTCTAAATTTTCTAAATCAGTCTCACAAAGTTCTAACTCTCAAACTTTTAACGATTCAACTGATTTTTTAACAGATAGTAAAGTTTGTTTTTCATGTGTTGCTGTCTATCCTCTTCATCACTGTCATGTTCAAATTCATTTTAAACCACATAATACGTTTCTGCAACCGATCCCTGAGTCCCCTGAATGTCAACCAAATCAGAACAACTCAGTGTTTATTTCACCAATTTCTATCGGAGGATTTAGTCGTGAGTATTATTCTCTGTTAATTACAATACTTGTTGCCTGATTTGTTTATTTGCTAAGTGTTGTATATTGTCATCAAACTTTAACATTAAAAAAATCTGAATTATTCAGTTTTTTTATCAGTTTTCTTATGCATATGAATTTATGTCATCAGTTTATTTGCTTTTACAAAACCCCCAAATGCCCTGGTGCGGCCGAGAGTGGGGAGAGTCCGCTTTCCCTCTTGAAATACTCTCACACGGCCACGCGTACACAGCCTCTGCGAGGGAAGTTCTACTCATTGCCTTCTCGTGGCGGGGGTCATGTTTACGGAAATGTGAAGACGAAAAGCGAATGTCCGGCGCTTTAACCGGATTACAAACCAATGGTGCACATGGGCTCCAGTATCCTGCGGGAACAAATGGCGTATGCACCAATCGCTGGTCACCGGTTACCATGGGGCTGCGTCTCCTTACGATGCTCCACTGCCTTGTGGGTTATACCTTTAGGTCAAAGGCTCGGGGTGTGGCCCCCTAAGATAACCACCTGCTTCGGTCTGGGCACTCGGGCAGTATCGCAGCCCACACGCAAATGATGAACTCTCTATATCTATGGAAACTACTTTTCTCGCTTCGAATAACAATCAAATGATTATTATTATTATTATTATTATTATTATTATTATTATTATTGTTATTATTATTATTAGTACTATTTTCCACATTATTCACCCTCTTTTATACTTATACAGCGGCTCGTCTTTGGTGGAAATTCGACTCTATCTAAACGTTCTCGAGTCACTGTCCGGTTGAAAATTGTATGTTACCACTGAATATGAGTATTGAAGCAGTTTTTCTGAAACCACATGCACCATTCAAACTGGCTGCCTTCAACGTTCGCACACTTATGCAGGTTGGACAACAGATAGGGCTGGCTATGTCTTTGGAAAGTCTTAATATCGACGTGTGTTGTCTATCCGAGACCCGTACTCAAGACTCTGGCGAAGTACTACAAATTTGATCTCCATCTGTCGCTTCGAGAAGCTTGTTTTACGTGCGCTTATCCGGGGATCCTGTGGCATCTTCGTCTGGTCTTGCTGGCGTTGGTGTCGCACTAAGCGCTAGAGCTGAGGCAGCACTAGTCGATTGGATCCCCATTAACACTCGGTTATGTGCTGTTAGATTAGAAAGTTCCATCAAAGTGAGAAGAAATCGGCGTGAGAAACGATGTCTTTTCGTCATCTCCGCCTATGCCCCGACAGATTGCAGCCCGGATGCAATCAAGGATGAGTTTTACCACCAGTTATCTGTTTTTCTCCAGAAAGTGCGTTCGACAGATATTGTAGTACTAGCCGGAGACTTGAATGCTCAGGTCGGGCGTCTAGGCACAGAAGAGAGTCGTTTAGGTGGCCGATGGGGACTCGTTGGTCGCAGGTCAGATAACGGGGACCGTCTACTGCAACTTTGCACAGACCACAACCTGTTTCTGGCTAACACTAACTTTCGGCACAGTCATCGCCGATGTGCCACCTGGCGTCCTCCCTCTGCATCCCAAGCCTGGACTCAGATTGATCACATCGCGATCAGCTACCGCTGGCGTGGTTGTGTACAAGACTGCCGCTCCTTTCGGAGTACCTATCTGGACTCTGACCATGCCTTGGTCTGCGCCAATCTTGCCTTACTTTTCAGTGGACAACGAAGTGACCACCAAAAAAAGATTGATGTTAGCAAGCTGGTTGCAACTTTTGTTGCAAGTAAGTATCGAACCGAGCTAGCCTCTAGGCTAGCTACCACTCCACCGAAAAGTATAGATGAGCATTGGTTGCAATTGCATGACGCCATGAAAATGGCGGGAACAGTCAGTTGTGGGTTTGCGAAACGTCCCGCTTTTAAGCACTGGGTTTCTTCAGGTTCCTTACAACTCATTGAAACCCGTCGGTCTACTCCGGGTGACTGTGAGTTTGACCATAAACGAAGGATATTACGTAAGGAAATTGGGCAAAGCTTGCGTAAGGACCGAGAAGCCTGGTGGTCGAAGCGTGCTAATGAGTTGGAAGCAGCAGCTGCATCTGGTAATTACCGGAAGCTCTTCCAACTCATCCGAGCCACTGGCAACAAGAAGTCTGGTGTGAGCGAAACAATCTGTGAGGATGATGGGATGCCAATCACTAACATTCATCGACGTCTTGGACGATGGGCAGAATTTTTCAAAGGGCAGTTCAACTGGTCTGTTGCTCCGGCAACGTCGGTCAGACTGCCCTGCCCTCCATGGCCGGTGACGACTGATCCACCAAACGAGGAGGAAGTCCGCAAGGAACTCCAACTCTTGAAGTGTTACAAATCACCTGGCCCAGATGACTTACCTCCGGCTCTTTTTAAAGATGGTGGTGACTTTCTGACTAAGGAATTGACGACGTTGTTTACAAAGGTTTGGGAACTAGAGAGTGTACCAACGTCATGGAATGAGTCGATAGTTGTCCCTATCTTTAAAAACTAAACTATGCAATGACCAGCTTATTAAAACGTGTTTTTTTAAGATTGAACTAACCAATGAGTCAAAGATGGTGATATTGTATTTGGGTTTCTTTTCAGGTCACACTGCATCAACACCATTGGCGTTCGATGAATATGCATGTGGATCAACATCTGTTGTAAGACTGAAATCGGATCCATTTATTACCTTCAATGAAGATGACTACACAATGAGACACCCTGAACCTTTGAATGAATACAGTTTCACTGTATGTCTTAATTATCATTTAAATAACTTTGTTATTTTTGTGCATGGTAATCATGTAATATACATTTAGCATATAATTAGGTAATAAGATGGCATTATCAGTGTGTTCGATCAATGGCTAAAAATCTTATCGATATATATCTGCTTTTTTTATTGTCAAGAAAGATCACTGATCTTCATCCAGAAATTGTACTTCAATAGGGTATACTAGAATCCATCTTCCAGTTTGTACTAATTTTTATAAACTGCCAATAATCGAACTGTTTTTATCACCAAACTATTGGTAATAGTAATTAAAATGTTTAGGGATATCATAAATAAATGATTTTTATACTTAGCCTTATATTGTGTTAATATCCTTCTACAACACATTCACGGTTAATTCTTTCGATTGAACTTATTCTTCAAATGGTCGTGGTTCCAGTTCATATAAAATAAGTATTCAGCAAGCACACTGTCTCCGACGATTCTAATTGTTTTATGCATCTATTTTAATTAGTTAGCCGTTTCTATATTGCTGCATAGGTGCAAGCCTCATATCCTACATTTTTAAAACAGTTTACTGCATGCTTTTCAATACGAATGTACAGCCTAAGTAAATGATTTTGTCGAATAGAAAATTTATTACTGTTCTAAAGTAATCCAGATTTTCGTTTGTAAATCAAAGTACTATTCATTTTTCATTATTTCTACAGAAGAGATATAGCACCCATAATTTAATGTCATATGTAATTACTTATTTATTGTGTCTAGCCTTGTTGCTTTCAATACCCGAGGAGCATCATCTTTAAATAAGTAATGTCGATAAAATAAATCGATTCGTAAGTTACCAGTGGTTTAATGATTATACGTTTTTGTTACCGAGAATACCCAGTATCAAAGGAAACCTCCTATACACTTGTAAGGAAATGAATCGGCTATTTAGTTAGATTTGGTTCATACTTATTATAAATATTTGTGAAAAGACACAAAAAGCACTAGGGTTTTAGGTTTAAATGAATTCATTCCATATCTTGTACTCTAAACCTTCCACACATACACCAAATTGTACTTATACATTAAATGTTTTGCAAATATAGCTTCGTGTGTAATATGAGTAAGATTATCAAGTTCACGAGCGAAAAATTATTATCATAAGCTATATTTCCAAGTTCACTTTATAGAAGAATGAAATAGGAGCGAAAAAAAACATGACGTCAAGTACAAGAAACATGTTCAAGGTGCTACGATCACAGTTGACAAGATCACAAAATTCATATTATTTACCAATAAACTCTAGTAAAGTAATCATATTAGTGGTGAAAATAATAATAATTTTCGGAGATGATATCAACATAGAAAGTAATGATTATTTTTATTAGTGAACTGAATGACTTTATGCATATTGTATAGGAAATTACATTTGTGAAACATCTTAAGTATTTATAAAAGTCAGTGGGGAATTTAGAGCTCACCAAATGAAATGAAATGACTTTATCCTACTATGTTTTTTCTGCTTTGCTAAAATTTCAAGCATATTATATAGAAATTAAATATTCTATCACAGCTGTTATATTTTTACATTGAGATCAGTTATTATTAATATACGAATATTTTTGTCTTCTAGGTGCACTGTCGTGATGCTAACTTTACTATCGTGAATGGTAATTTAAGTGAAGCTGAAGATTGGATATCTAGTTTGGAGACAGCCATTCAGTAAGTGTTCCATACATTCTTTGAAGCGCTATTTTTACTTTGTCATATTCTTAGTAGTCACAATTATGTAACCAGAGTATTCTCGGATTCAATATATTTATTTGGTGTGGTTTTTTAGTTATACAGTTTTGATATAAATGCACATAAAATTTACATAAATGCAAAACAAATCTTTCCAAACTTTCGGCAGTGAATTTTTTTAAACAAAAGAAACATATTAGCCTACTTATGATGACTCAAATGAAGTATCCGATTTGTTAAAATTTAACATAACCCAAAGTACTTCCACACTTTACATTTATTCATCTAATTGAATATATATGTTATTACTTACTTCATTTTAGTATAATTCTTTTTAGGATGTTCCATTTTTTTGTGGCTATTTAGGTCATTGAACTAACAGATTTATGTATTGCTTTGTACTTAGACATTTTCAAAACCTATTTATTTTTTAGAGCTGTTAAAACAGCACGAAAAAGCCTTCGTAAGGAAAGCAGTGCGAAGTGGCCAATGCGTGCTTCAGATTTTATTCAATTTGAACAATGGCTAGAACAGAAACGTATAGTCGAAGAGGTGAGAATTCTTCAGTTGATAGAGTTTCATATAAATTCTCATAAAAAGAGAACAACATGCTGAACAGAATATGGTGAACGTATTGCGTTTTATTACCCTTCGCATATTACCTCACACGTTGAAGTCAGTTACAGTATACTTCATACCATAGAAACTGTCATAACTTAGTTTTTAGGAACCGGATTATTACCTAACAAATCGTCATACATTTTGTGGGGTGACGTAATAAACATATTGAGTTAGACAAAAAGCCAATCGAAAGCATACACAAACAACATAAACCGGCAAAATGACTCCAATCAATCGTATGCAATGACATAAGAAAAAAAAGCCGAATGTTATCTACAAAACAAAGTGCTCTGATTGTGAGAAACAGTATATCGAACTAAATGGACAACCCCTTCATCTTCATCTGCGTTAACATCAACTAGCTGTCAAACCTCAAGATGTATCGCTCGTACCAATGCACGTAGATAATTATATGTGGTAGTAGTTTTACCAAGATATCAGTCACTATTCCTCTTACTACTATTAAAGTGTCTGTTAGGTATTTTAATAAATAATACGAATACTCTACAAACATAAATAATAATTTTTTCCATTATAAAAGCTGTGTGATACTGTGGTTTGTATGTGTCGTTATCATAACACAGGCTTAATTTTAATCAGTTTCTGTCAGCTGCTGTTTTCATAAGCGCTTAAGTAATAATTAAAGCTGTTAACGTCGATTTGGTTATTGAGTATGTGACGTCAGACCATAGAGGATTACGTTGTGCGTTATTCTTGATACAAACTTTACGTGTTTTCGAATTTAACTAAGAATAATTTTCGGCTGAGTTTATCGTCTATGTCTGCCAATTCATAATATGAAGGGTCAATAAAGTAATCATAGTTAAGTAGCTTGGGTTCTTGCAACATGTGTTTATTTTTCAATATGAAGAACGGAAATATTTGTACCTTGAACGTTCATTATAGTGTGAAATATGCGAAAAGAGTACTAAAGCCAAGTTTTATATTGGTAGTTGAAGACCATCAAAAAAGTGATATTTTCACCGGATAATGAGTCAATAAAAGCGCTTTGCATCTTTACGAAAGTTTACTATACTTTCATTGTTAGATTATTAACGAACTGAATTAGGTGAAGGCCAGGTAATATGTGTTATATATGTATGAGATTAAATTACTTTCACGATAAAACACCTTCACTTTCGGCCATATAATGACTTGATATTAAAGCCAAGGGTTATAAGCTAGAATTTAACCCCATCTGCTTAAACTTCAACCGAAAAATCAATTACTCGATTCCTTTCCTAATTAATATATCTTAAAGCATGATGTATAAACATGTATTCGGTTATTAAATTATATCACTATCAATATAGACAAATTTAAGACTCCTTGTTATAAATAAAGCAATAATTTAAGAAAAGTTATATAATTTTTATATTAATTTAGACCATGCTATTGGCTAAACTCATGGAATAGATGGATTGAAAGCTTGTGTGAAAAATCATTCTTTAAAAATGTGTTCTGATTAAAATTAACAAATAACAATTTCATTGTTGTTTTACTTATTCAAATGTTATGCTTTATGGTTCTGATAGAAATAAAGCTTAGTAAAATTTAATAAAAGAATAAAACCAGTTTTACACTAAATGGTTTTCTTCTTGTTTTAATTCTGGAGCGATTTATTGAGCTTTATCAGTCTTTGTTTGGCTTTGGCTAAATAACTATAGGCATGGCTATATGGAAAAATTTCAACAACAGATAATCTATTCAAATCATCACTGTCCATAGGCTATTTGACTGTTGTTGTTGCTAGTTCAATGTGATTTCATATTTAACTGAGGACACAACATAGAGCATTTTTGTGCAGTTTAAAAGTAGCTTTCATTAAACATTGTTTTTAACCTTTTATCAGTAAATATTATTATTTTGATCCATTACCGCTAGTCAATGAAATCTTCTCGAATCTTTCAAAGGATGGGAATGGAAGAGTTGACCATTGATAATCCCCTTTCACCAGTAAATTTTCTTGAGTCATCTAGAATGGAACAAAAACTTGAAGAATACCGTAGACGTAAATCCATCGGCTGTGATACCGAAAAAAACAATCGGCTTTCTTATATGTTTTGTGAGTCTGGTAGTCTTGAACTTAATCCCAAAAAATCAAAACGTGATAAACAATGTGGACTGTTTTGTCATTCGTTTATGTCTAAATTTAAAGAAAATAACTTAGTTAATGCCTCAGTAAGTTGATTTTAAATCTAAAAACGGTTGTTTTTAAATTTTACTATGAGAACTAGTACTTATCATGTTATATAAATATACTTTGTACGTTTTATTAAAAATACCTTGTTGAGAGTGCGTGAGATAAATTAACTGAAATAAAATCAGTACTGATTTATCTTTATTGTTGAGTTTAAAGTTTTATAACTTTTACCGTATTGCATATCAGTAGGTTTTACAGATCACTGCAAGTCGAATCATTCAAGTCAACTGAAATATATTACTGTTTTGTTAGGTCAGCCAACTGTCAAGTTACATTTTCAATCCTTTTATCTAAATTTTGAACCATTTATCCTTCTCTCAAATGGTTGGGTTTTTTTAACAAATAACCGTAACTTTGAGTTCATTTAAATAGTAAGTATGAACATATATCCTGTTTAGGTTTCATCGTTACAAAAATTGAGAAACACCATTAATAAGTTGTTTTCCCATGTTGAAAACTATTTTTAAAACCTTATTACCTATGACACATATTTCGATGCTGAAGAAATAACCATTCAAATGTTTCTTTATCACATACCCATATACCTGTTATTTTAATTGCTCAAAAAAATCTGGATGTAAGTGCTAGTGATTTTAAGAAGGGAAGGCTGGGTATTTTACTAGGTTCTTCTACAATTCAAAACAAATTTTCGATAATATTCATAATTCTCATCGAGTGACATTTTAATATTATTGATCCCGATACCCCAGGTTTAAACTTTGCAGTGAAGCAAACTTCATTAAGGTAAATGTTTTATTGAAATTAGAAATCTCTTTTTCTTGACAAAAAATAACTACTATCAACAATGATTCAGCTTGGTTTAATTAAACATGAAAATAATTTTTCAAAAGAATAAAATGATTCTTTAGTGTTTTAGATTGTTCACCATGTGTGTCTTAAGTTGAAATTATTGAGAGCAAACTTTGGTCTAAAATTATGTACCACCATTTTGTAATGATAATTATAATTAGGAAAAAATATTAACGGAAAGCCCTAGGTTCATGTAAACAATATACTAATAGTTCTAAGTTCTAAGATTAAGTCCGAAAAGAGCCATCTTTATGCAAATGAAATGGAACAGGTCACTATCTCGCAAAATACTAAGTATGTAATAATATTTTAGGCTAAATGTATTGTCAATTCAATATTTCTTGAAAGTGTATCATTCATGAAAGATGAATAGATTTGAATTTATTAATTAAGCTAAGTGAGAGGTCCTTGATTATAAGATTGAATTTTGTATCCGAGATGATTACTGAATTTTTAGTGAGACTATGTTTCCCTCGGGCTATTTGTAAGCCATTTTAACTTATTTATAGTTATATCATCTTAAATGTTCTCAACCACCGATTAAGGAAATCTAGATGATCTGTACTTCGAAACCCTCATTTCTTTATACGATGCAACAATATTAATCACTGACACTAGTTAATCATTGTTTGACTTCAATCTAAGCCACTCATCCGTCATGCTAAGGTAGCCCTTAACTAGGTGGGTGCAAGAAACTTCTCAGTCATATCAGTTAGTTGAAATTCTGGCTTTTAAGTGCTTTATAACCCATACTTCGTAACTTATACATAGCATCATTATAGTTCATGTACATTAAAGGTCTAGTATTTTGATGGAGGAAATTTCATATTTCCCTGACATTGGTTTTTGTTAGATTCTACATCCACTTAGTTAAAAATGGAATATATTTTGAATTATTATCATTATTATTAGTGGCTTTATTCAATAATATATTTTAGGTATAATATAGCATTCACAGCACAAGGTATTTCAACAAGTTCCTTCTACAAAAAAGAAAAAAGGCGAAGGAAACTGCTAATTCCATACATATATACATAAACTAAGTAGATAAACTACCTGGAATTAAATGAAACGTTTTTTAAGATTTGAATCCGTACAACCTTTTGATTAGAAACGTGTTTAAGAATACAAGCTGTTGACTAGGTCAGCTCTAACAACCTGTTTGCCACATGGTATATTTTCTAGATAAGGTATTCTGATGTATTGGAATTTCGTTCTACCAGAAGATATACAAGGAGAAAGATATAAATGACGTGGATGGTTAGTACCTGATAAGACTACACCTTCCATAGGTTTACAAGATTTTAGATGTTTATCCACAACCATATTAATAATGGCCTTAAAAGATTCACCGCACATCCTGCTAACTGCCTTCAGCACTCCTCAATACAGCAAAGTCTTTTTTCACAATCGTAGGGAAAAATAATGGAGGACAGTAAAGAATTATAGGTAATACGCAAGACTTAACAAGTCGTAAAAGTTAGTATTCTGTAGGGGAAAAAGCACGAAGTCTCTTTATACAGTAAGTCAGACAGAAAAATTTCTTCAATATTAACCAAACATGGAAGATCAAGAGAGATCAGAAGAAAAAATTACACTAAGATAAATGACCTTTGAGAACGTTTTTATTGAAGAGTCTTTAATAGTACCATCTTTATGGGGTTCCAACAGGGTGTTTAGGTGCTGTTCATATGTCAGGCTAAAGTTAACAGTTTGACACATAGATGGACTAGGTGTGAGACCATTAACAACAGACCACAATTCAATAAGAGACAAGAACTCATTCATTTTAAAGGTATGTAAATAGGTAAGAATCATTGTACATACAGTGAGATCGTCCGCATCTTTAACAAAAGTCTTTTCTATTGAAGATAATAGATCACGAAAAAAATCATAGAAAAGAGGGTAAATAACAGCTCCTTGTGACATATTAGCCAATTCTATGTTTGAGGCTTCTCCGTAACTCCATTGTAATATTAATCTGTTTTCATTTAGTTGTAAAAAATATTTCAGAATATCCTGTTCTTAAAATGACTTCTAGGCACTTTATCATTCAAACGATTCTGTTCGTTTGTTATCCATAACAAGCATTGCTGATAAGCCCACATCAAATTCCATTCCGTTCAATACAGGAAATCATTTGTACAGCAGTGATCGTTGTTACCATTTGGGTGATACTCATCGTAGTTCATTTCCATCTCAATTAGCGTAAGTTTACATGATTTTCTTTCTTACACTTAAAGCAAATGTTGGTCGTAATAATATATAGCTCAGTATTTTGTGAATACAAAATCATGTACTGGTTATCACTAGACTAGAAAAAATTGGACATCATGAAAGAACAAATGAAATACACTATTTAGAATTCATTATATTCTGCAGCTGTTTGTAGCTGTTTACACTCGTAATCGAACTAATCAAATGTATTGACCGAATTGAAAGATATCATGATATTGCACAATTAAAGCACTTGAAATGACAAGTTATCAGTGAGCTTTAATATAGATAAGACTATTAAACGAATGAGCAAAAAAAATATAAGTGTGCAGAAACAGAAGTGAATTAGAATCAGAAAATTAGTAAAATTTGTTATGTAACAATTGTGATAACTTAGGTTGGTGGAAGCCATTCAATAAACTCAAGAGTACTTTGGAATTTGATGAGGCAAAAAAACCAAAATAGATGGAAAGACCTTACGATCAAAAACTTGACTTACTACGATGGTGATAAATTGACTGGATTGATGGCTTAGTTAATTATATGATATACTTACACCTTTCTTAAATTTATCCGTCTCATAATAGCTGCTGGAATCTATTTAAACATACTTTAATTTTATTCAGATTTCAGCTAAAAATTATTTTACTATCTTTTACTTACAATATACATGATATCATTCACTATCTTACTACATAAAGAACAGTTTAAACAACATATTTTAATCATAATTGGATTCATTTGAGAGCAACAGTATCAGATATAAGCAGGTCGGAAATGCTTGATAGTCTCTGCAAAAAGGAGTAAAATTACTATATATTTTTTGCCACCACAGGTACATGAAAATTCAACTCTAAACAATTCTAAGAACTTACATGTACCTGTGGTGGCAAGTATATAGGAAAGATAGAGAGAAAGGTTTCTAATAGATTTTCTAAACGTATTCCTAAGATTCTACGCGTAAAAAGAGTCAGGTCTTCACGACTGCAATCGTCAAGCACCTTTTGAATAGTAAAGATGAAGTGAATATAACCAATGCATTAAAAATAATCAAAAGACAAAGAACAATTTTACTCCGTTTCCTAGAGGTAATAACTATCAAGCACTTCTGACCTGACCTATGTATACACAACGAAACTGTGACAAGCCTTTCCGTGATAGCGACAGCGTGTTAACCAAATAACCTTTGTCAATTTTTCAATCCCCTTTTCATCGGATTCTTATGTTTTGCATAATCTTGTTAGTGTTCACATATTTATTCTATCTAGTTTATAATCACATTGAATGATTGTGTAATCGCTTACTAATTTAATTGCCATTTAAATATATGTATGCGATTGTACACCTCTGATAAATTCGTTGAAAAGAAATCCCTTCGCTGAACTTCGTGTCTTTTAATTTATTTAAGCTCACGTAACCCTCTTATCTTCATTATGATTACCTGTAGCTATGACGTCATCTACTCTGAATTATTTCTTTACAACAATATAAATACCAGTCTCAACTATTTTATATTTGTACATTTTGTTTACTATTCCTCGTGTTATTACGTTTGTCATGATTACTTTCTTATACTCGTCTGAACTTCATTAACTTAAGTACATTGAAAATTTGTTTATAATCACATTAATATGTGTAATTTTAGGCTGTTTGCAGCTGATGGGACGTCGTGAAATAGAATGAATTCATCTTATTTTGCAAACTTATTTGTTGTTAGATTGACAAGTTGAACAATGAAATAATTCGTTTCATTTAGTTCTTCATCAAGGTTCCATACTAACATAAATGTTTTATAACTGAGTAGAGACGATACCAATTGGATGGTGGTCAGTTTAAAGAAATAGTAATCACTTAGTTACATAACGTCTGGAAGATCGAAATTAAGGTTAGGACTAAAGTGAATTCTCATGGTTAATTAATTATCACTAACAGTTACATAATTAAAATTGTATGTAAATATGTTTTGTTATCTGTGGAATTAATGATAAGTAATTAGTTGAACGGGTACAGTTAATATGATTAATCATCAGATTACATAAGATTAGAACTAGGAATTTAATTGTTAACGAAATCGATGTTTAGGAAATTTTACGAGAATAGAAAGAAAGGTTTTGAAACATGCAATGGTATTTAGGTAGAAAACTAGGGTAGATTCAATGGTTGTATAAACTTTTTCTGTATATAAAGGTTGGGTTTCTAGATGTGTATTCTTATGGCTTCTGCTATACGTAAAAGTTGAATCCTAGAACCATAAGGTTATTTCGGCGATATTTTATAAATAATTTGAAACGCTGAAGTTTTATCTATGTGGTGATCGGTATCGACTAGATGCACCAAAAACCAGATAATTAATTTATTCAGATGATAAATTTTCGATGATAATATTTTTTATTAATGGCTATTCTTATTTTATTTATATAGCCAATCTTTTAGTGGGTGTTTGTGCATGTAAAATGCTTGCAAACAGGTATCTGTGCTGTAAGTGAATTGTTATCATTTCTTTTTGTCAATGAATTATTCCCTTGGCAACTAAAACTTTTTTTAAATGTTTTAATTTCATCATTTATTGTTGTGGAATTTTAATGAAATTTATTATAGAGAAAGAAATATTTATTTTAATTCACCACAGAATTACGATTATTTTAAGTAAAGTGTGTGGAACAAAATTTAAGCAACAATACGCCAATTAAGTCCTTTAAAATACCTGAATTGTTATTTAGCGTACACATGTTGACGTTTTAACTCGATTAAATTTTGGTCACCATCTTTATATGAATATTTATAACATATGAAATGACTGTTAAAGCATAAAATTCGGATATCAAAATATGCTTTGTAACATTGAGTTTTGAACAACCTACCAGATAAGAAAGGATATAAATTGCAAAAATTACTGTTCTGCCTCAAACGCCAACATTATTTAGTATATATATACTGATGCTGTGTTCTCTACGCCAAATGGTTTAATCTTGAAACTGTCTTGACAACATCATCAGTACATAATTTAGTTATAAGTGGCTGAATAAAACCTCTCCGCAATCGATTGGGTGTTGTGTCTGTTAACCTAGGATTTGGTTTCTTGTTATTCATAACTGTGTGACTGTTGTTTAGATGTATGTTTCCGTTGTTTCTACCTATAACGTTGTAGTTGTTTTCACTTCATCTTGTTAATTGGTGGATCGAGTCTTTTTTAATATGTCTAATGGTAAGCGCGTAATCAAAGTCCCAAGCTTCTAAAAATCCTCTTGCTTTTTTGTGTTTTCTCTGCCTTATATTCTTACATTTCCCAAGTCAAATTGATGTCATAGTTGTTCACATGAACTGATATTGACGAAGTTATGTTGATGCATTTAACAGCTTATTAGCATTAACTTATACTTAAGCAGAACGAACGGCCACTAAGTCCTGTACAGAACACGCTGCTAGTCGGTTGTGGTGAAATTCTAATAAATCACTTTATATTGAAGTTTGTATTGATAATATAGTCAGATATCATCAATAACAGTCGCGTATGTAAACTCTTTTATTCATTCAGTTAGGGTCATTTTCATGCATCTATGTGAACTGGTTCTATTTACTTTAAACTTTTTTATCTTTCTTATTAAAAGTTTCTTCCCACTGATAGTACTTTCATGTTATCTGTGATACTACTGCTTTAAGCATTTAATAATGCAACTTCTAATGAAATAATTTTTACGCCAAGCAAAGTTACCATGCATGACACATGAAAAACTCGTAACATTATATCTGTATGTTTCGACGTTGTAAGAAGAAAATAATAATAATAAGAAGAATGAATCAAAGACTTGTATATTGATTTGTATTATATGTTATTGTCCCTTGTTATTATAACGTGGTGAAAAATAAAAACGATAACAAAAAAGATGATTGAGAACGAGAACACGGAAATTCAAAATGCACATGATCGTGTAATAAGAAACTATTATAGCAACCCTCCCTAAAATTAAGTTTGTTTACGCTTAATTTCGTCGAACCCTTTAATTAACTTATTTAACAGACAGTGTTATTCGAACAGTAACAATCTATTTGCTTCTTTGTATTATTATTATTATTATTATTACTATTATTATCACTATCATGTCTGTACAAACATGTATGCTTGATCACATGAGACAGCCTACCCACATATCCCTCTCTCTACCTTAAAGGTTGTTTGCTTAAATATCGCTCGATGAATCATTCGCTTTCCCGTATGAATATGTTCTCGAATCTTATTAATGGCATTTGCTTTGTTTCGCCGCACCTTAATTCGACTTGACTATAAATCTGTCTCTGTGTTTGCTTGATTGCACACATTAGTCTGTCTGCTCCAAAGCCGCTCGATGTGCTTGTAATTGTGATCTGTGCTATCCAATAATATAATTTAAAGCAATTAGTCCCTTTTATAAACTTCGATAGAACAATGAGTAGACGGAGTTAATCTGGTCCAATAATAAACTGCAATCACCGCTTCGTATTGTCTTCTGAATCCATGCCCCGTTGGTATTAATTTAGTAACGGTTATCAGGGTGATTGATAAACGAAGCTAAACAAATTATCTCGAGGTTAAGCCACTACATTATGGATAGTCATCAAACTGATTTTATTGATAACAATTATGATTTATAGATTAGTATGTAGTGCCCTTTTCTTTTAATTGTGAATATAAAATTAGTTTTGATAAAGCAAAATGAATATCATTCTCTTAAAAAAGAGTTAGAAGTGATGAAATCGTTAAAGTGATTTATGTTCTCTTTTTTTCGGATACTTTTTATCAGCTTAAACTAGTCAATAGACGCGAATAAAACCAATTCGTAATAACTTGGATTAAATGTACGCTTCTACATAAACTATAAGTGAACAGCACTTTCAACTACTCATGAGCATTATTTAAAATATCAAATTGTTGTAACCGCGAATTCAGATTTTATTTTTTCATTTTGTATTTTAGATAAAATCTTAAATAAAACCACTGCTTACTCCAAGTATTATTTTTATTCTTATTCCCACAGAGAATAATCATTCATCTATACTGTATACTTTTGTCTAGTTTTTTCTTTGTAATCTAATTTTTTTTACAAATCTTCCATCTTTTATTTTTGTATCCGATATTACAGATGTATTTTAAACACAAGCGTTGATTTGTAAACTGACAGAGATTGTTCCAGTTGTATCTTGATGAAATGTAATTTTTGTTCTCTTGCCTTATCTTATACCTTTCCTATTTTATACAACTAAAAGCGTAATGCTAACTGGAATATTCCAGTTTTTATTTTAATTATGTTTCCGACTTGTCAATAATTATGCTGATTCCTTGTTTTTTTGTACCACGTATTACCACTTTGTACTTTTTTTTAAAATGTTAATTATGTAGAATAAAGCGAGCAAGATAACATTAATTATTATACTTTGAAATTTGTCATCATTTGCTTACAAACTTCTATTGAATCCAAAAAATACCACGTATTATTGCACAGTTGGTTGAAAAAGATCATTCCTAAGCTGTAATCCTAAACTTATTAGAAGATGACAGTCGCACTGTGACGTTCGAATCCGCGTCATCCATTGTTAATTAATGAAAATACTACTAAGTTGTTAAAGTTTTAACTAACCTTACTTGGGATTGAGATATTTACTAATTAGTTAATATTCAGTAATCAAATGGTTATAATATTAGTGATCGTGTTTACCTGAAATGACAAATGTTAACACCGAAGATGTTGCCATGCAATATCAATAATGATTGTTCTCAAAAACAGAAAGACTAGGTCCAGTTATATGTAACCTGAGAAATGGCAAGATTGATTACACAATTTCATTAGATTCGAATTCACTTCCTACTTTACGTAATCCATCAGAGTCAACGTCAGCCATAAATTTATTTTCAGCACTGAAAATGGATTCCATTTTATTTTTGTAATCGGATATATTCATAACAACTACACCCGATCATTTATCAGGTCTAAACATAATGTCAGCATTATTTCGCATTTCTTTTAACTACTTGAAGTGCTGAGAAGTTAATATGCTTTTCTACTTTGGTCCATGAGAATAAAACTGGTGTGCTATATCCACTTGTTTAGCTTAACATCAACTTTGACTCTCTAAGGATGTAGGAACTACAGTACTCAGTTGATGAATTAATTAATTGATTCATTAACTAACTAAATATTTATTTCAAGTGTCAGGAATATGACTACAAGTAATTAGATGTTACATAATTTCCCTGTTAAGAACATTTGAACCATAAACTCTGGATTTCTTTTTAACAGGCTGAAGAATGTAAATATGTACCTATGTTGCTCTTTTTCTAGTGTACATACCTTGTTGAACACATTAAGCTTGGTAAGTACTATTAGCGATAATATGGTGATATTTTACTGTTTTATCGAACATATCTTCTTGACAGATATATAAGTATTCTTAAAACATATTGATTAGTTTATAGGTATCAATGTCAAGGTTGGACTTGATAGTTTCAAATTAATTGAGCACTGAGTAGGAAGTTAATAGCAAATATATGTTCTGTTATCTCAATGAGTAGATAATCACGTAAATCTAAATCTAACCCTCATGATTAAGATAAGTACTTTGTAGACAATTTAGACAGCTTTAAAGGCAACAACTTTTGTTATTTTCCTTTCTTCATAGAAATCAGTTTACAGCACTTTAGATAAAAAAGGAATATTGCTATTGCTTAGATTAGTAATTGACTAAGTTAAAGATTGTAATATCTTTACCTGTCACATCATTAATCTAGCTGCGCGAAAATTAATATCTCTCCGTTTAGTTATTTACAAAATAAGCTAGGGATTAATATTCGAATCAAGCAAGTTTATTTATGATCAATGAAATAATATTTCATTAAACCTCACTGTAGATCGTTCACTGATTAATATTCAGATAAATGGTTGCATGATCAAGTTACATAAAAGCAATCTTGACAATATAATTGACGTAAATATCACTATTCACAATTCCTATCCAATAAGTAATCATAACAATGTGAAAAAACATTGGACAGTTCAAATGAAGATAAAAATTTACAATATTCTCAAACGTTACTCAGATTATTATTTATTTTACATCTTGGTTGCATATCTCTATATTTTCATAGATGAACATTAATCACTAATCGATTGATATTCACAAAAGACTGAACTGTAATCAAAACCTAATAAAGCGTACATTAATTTTTACCATTGTATGATTATGAATGAATGAGATTATACACTACATTAATCAATTAGATGTAATGATGTTGCATAATCTAGTCAAGATTATCAAATATTTCAAGCATTGCAAACAATAATTTATAATTAGAAGTGTGTTATTTTAACGAAATCAAAGTATTCAAATATTGAATAAAATAGATTTAGATATCAGAAGGGGTTTTGTGGAGACTGTAGTAATCTCAATAATGGAGATCATGAAACAATTGAAGCTAAACCACCATGGAAAACCTGGAAGCACTGAACGGTCTTTCCGTCCTATTATGGGACTCCTCAGTAATGCGCGTCCAAGACCTCGCCCCACGAGATTCGAACCCTGGGCCTATCAGTCTCGCGTGCTAGTGTTTAACCACTAGATCACCACAGGACGAAACGGCCGTCCGGTGCTTCCAGGTTTTCCATGGAGGTTTAGCTTTAATTGTCTCATGATCTCAACTATTAAAGTAGGTTTGTTTCACTGAAACGTTCTCATTCATTTTAATAGGGAAATAATTAGAAGAAATTTGCTTATCAATTTGGTTGATATCGAAGTTACAAAAATAAATTTACCTAATCACCATTTATCTAAATATGATTTTTAAGGTGATGGAATACATATTTATTTATTTACTTAAACACATAAATATTGGTACAAAGGGGTACCGAATACCTATGCACCACACACGTCACTTAGTTTGTGTCTGAGCTGTGGTACTGCTCGGGGCTCCCAGACTGAGGCAGGTGGTTTTCTAAGAGACACACACGGAGCCTTCGACCTACAGGTCTAGTCCATAAGGCAGTAGAGCAACGTAAGGAGATGTAGTCCCATGGTAGCCAGTGATCGATAATTGATTCATACACCATCTGTTCCTCCAGGATCCTGGAGCCCATGTGCACCATGGGTTTGGGATCAGGGTTTTCCAATCCACTTAGGAGGATCCTCCATATCCACCAACCCGGTTAAATCTCCGAACATTCGCTTTTGGTCCTCTCAATTTCGTAAACAACACCTCTCCTCGCGAGAAGCCAGTGAGTAGGACTTCCCCTGGCAGTGGCTGTACACGCGTGGCCATGTGAGAGCATTTCGAGTGGAAGAGCTGACTCTCCCCACTTTCGGCCGTACCATAGCATTTGTGACTAACGTTTATACTCATCTCAGTGAAATTTAAAGAAATTCTTATCTTCTATTTGAACAGTCACTAATTTTTTAATACAGTGATTTTTAATCGATTTTTTGACGCAGTCATGTTTTCTCAAGACAGTTCTGGACATTAAACTGATAGAATTGCCAAGTCCGTCATGCCAAAAGTAAGGCTGTTAGACCCTAATCTCAGATGCATGTTATTAGTTTAAGTGAAGACATTTGAAGAATTTCAAAACTAAATATTATTTGGCAAAATATTAACATTAAGCCTTAGTAGACTTTCATTTTATTTTAAGATTACAATAGTCAAATTGCTTCACTGATTCAACCACTTAATGATCTCATAAATTTATTGTAATCAGATAACTAAACTATAATACTGTAGCCTACATAGACACAAAATGGTGTAATTAGTGCACTCTATTTGGAAATCACCCCAGATATATGACCACTAATGTTTATGAGGCATTGGACGGCTGCTGCATTTTTAGTATGACGCTTCTCAGTGGTAAACATCTATGACTGATGTCACTTCAGCAAATTCAATGCCTAACTGTTGTATTATTTTACGAATTATGTTTTACTACTTATAAGTAGGTAGTGCATTTTAGCAAAGGCTTCATAACACAGTAAAGTGTATGGTAAACTCAGAGTATGATAATGCTATGATTTTGAAACAACCAGTTATCTTATGTACTCATTACTTGCAGTTTCCAACGTATTACCGAATACTGTCCAGGAGATAGTCTTTTTAGAATTCATGTTGTTGTCTGTTGAATTATATAACGATTTGAATTTTCCTGTCTTTGACATGGAAGATTATACTTGAATTATTATACTTGAATTTTGTTTATTAGTTTAGTATTTCAACAATTTATTAAGAGGTACTGATGAGCTAGTCGTCTTGCAAACTGAAACCTACTATTTATTCCAGTAAGTAACTATTTTGGTAGTATTCAATTAGTTTTGCAACCTCTTGTTAATCTTTATTATTCATATACATTTTATGTCAGATAAACATCGTAAAAGTTCAGGAGGAAATCACAGATTCTTGTTAATAGATTATTGTGTTGTATATCAGACAGATTCCATATTGGTTTGTATAGCGATAAGAATTCCGCAAAATCACTTAGTGAGGTCAATAGAAGGAAATGACTTTACTTAATATAATAATATAACTACATTCTCATGTAATTTCTATACTTTAGAATAAATAAATTTTAAACAAAGGGAAATAAGTTATTACAAATCAGTAATAATCAGTCTTTTGGAATGGGGTTGTGGAAGTTGCTGAATGTTATTTAAATCATGAACCGATCTAAGCGAGACAACTATTAAAAATCTGGGAGCAGCACACAGTCGTTCCGTTCTAGCACGGGACTTTTATAAGTGCATATCCACGGTCCCTCAACTGAAAATCAAGCAAAACAACTTTGGTCTTGTATTCGGACTCTTAAACCCTGAACTACTGAGCCGGAACTCACCGGTGTTAATGTCTGTACTCACTCATTCCACAACATTGTGTAATCATCTAGCATCGTCTTCGTTAGGTAACTACCTCACACTCGACACAGATTGTACTCCACTGGTCACTGGTTCTCACTAGAACTCCGGAGATTTCCTCTCAAACCTAAACCTTTTTTTAGGTTTGATATTGTGTTTTTAATAGCAGGAAGATAATGAGTTATTTTTAGTCCTTATTAGTATGAACTACCGGTTTATCAAAGATAATAGTCACGCTCGTTTAACGGAACATGTTTCATAACTTTATCATTTATCAAATATAATGCAATGAAAAAAATTTTCTTTTCGATAATGTAATTTTCTTAATGTGTAAAATTGTATTTATAACAACTGAACAAATAAAGTAATCTGGCTTGTGTTTACGTGATATCCCTTCATTAAAATGTAGACATTTAGCAAATCTTATCTGTTGAATTTGTTCACATCACATCCTGAGAGATATTTGATGACTTAATTTAGATAGTTTTCAGTCTTAACAAGTTTTAAACACATTATTTCAATATATATATATATATGCCGTTTTTCTTACTTTT